GAGAGAGAGAGAGAAATACGAGTTTTCTCCCTTTCAACCCGAATAGAAATTCTCAACGACCAAGATTCGACGAGAGAGGGGGTGGTCGGTTGGAACAGAGATCATCGATTAATGGCCGAGCAACCGAAAATCCCATCGATACCCTGCGCTACTCTAATTAAACGGTCAATTGGCCCTGTACCCTATCCGGCCAACCAATTAACCATCCTTGATACCTATCCTCGACAAAGGACGAGGAGCGGATCGGACGCTGATGTCCGGAATCCGTTGTGATCTTCTGGCCATGGGGTGCCAAGTAGAATAGACTAGTCGAATATCGAGGAAATTGTGTAAACCAGCAGCCATAGGCTCTTGTACTCGGGACTTGTTCCATCGACCGTGAACCGAATCGCGTCGACAAAGATTTATATATCCTATTCCTCCTCGTATCCCTCCTCTTCGATCTCTTTCTTCTATTTGGATTAACTTTCTTCCCACTCGTTGTTAATTCGAGCGTGCATATATAATAATTCGTGTGTCCAAATGGTTTGGTTTATGGTAAAATCGGTCCAAGCTCGATTTTTATTCTATTCCCTGTTCAGAAAGACATTTATTATAATATCGAATATGGACGATGATAAACTGAATTTCGAAGCGATGGAGCATTGACTTTGGAGATTTTGGCGATTCAATATCGAATATCGCGTCTCCCTATTGACCGAATTAATCATCCCTCCAGTGATATGAATTTCATGCGGATATCTATAATGGTGAATGGCCACATGCTATGTGGCCATACCAGGTATGTAATACGACTTTAGGAATTAGCGCCGATGCTATGCGATCGATATGCGATTAATCACGATCGATCTTGGAAAGGAATTGCTGTCATCTCGATAATCTGGTAATTGATCGAAAGATCGAAAGTCACCTCGTCGAGCGTGGACAAATTCCGTCTTCTGTGTTAAATAATTCAACGGAGGATATAAAAATATCGAGAACGACATCGTAAAAGAAGAACTAACAACGTCTAAGAACCGAATCCGAGAAATTTCCAACATCCGAACGAACATCCGGAGGAAGAGGAGGAGAGAAGGATCTCGTTCGAACGAAACTGAACGAACCCCTCCCCCCCGAGAAAAGAACGAAGAAGAACACCGAAATTTATTAGTTTCCAATGTAACCTCGTTTCATCGAGCATCACGAGAATGCTTCCATTTCCACCATTGCAACATCAGATCCGTGTAATCGTAAGAGAACCATTAAAAAAGAGTACCCTGTTCCCGAGTGAAAAAAGAATCAACATCTTGTCCCGCGAAGATCGTAAAGAGCCGTTAAGGACGCGGCTGGCGTTGCTAACTTCGAGAAGCCAACAGCCATAATCGAATTCTTCTACGTCGTTGAAGCCAACCAACCAACTTTCTCGTCCAACTCGTCTAAACAGATCGTCTAAATACCAATAACCAAGATTCTCTTATCGAGCGAAACAAAATTTCGCGTTTCAATCATCCCTCTCTCGGTTCCTTTTAACCCAAGATTTCCTACATTGCTATTTCGTTCGTTTCACATCCACAAAATGGGACAATTTTCCTTTCTTCGAATCGTTCCTTCGTGGGGAAGATATCCTCTCGTGATAATTTAATATCGCGACGTTAAACCGCGAAAACCCTCGTCGCACATGGAACTCGACGTCTTATGAAATACATTTTGGCAACGTCAAGCTACGCGTTCTTGTAAGCACAGCTGAGCACGCGTACCATCGCGCCATCTGCTCGCGGCACGTTCCTTGAATTCGCGTTACGGAACGTACACGTAACATCTTTATTGCCTGTCACAGATCTTCGAATTTCCCATCCTCCAGAACGCCTCGATCCACGCGAAAAAAAAAAAGAAGAAACGTATTCGTTTCTATCTCGAGCAATAATTATGCACACGCGTATTCGAGGGTAAAGAAGCAACGAACCGATGGCTAAAAAACGCGGTGGTAATTAATGAAGACGTTAGCTCGCTCCACGGGGGGGTTCGGTGACGTAGAAAAAACCAATAATCCGATAGTCTCCCCGCGAGACGTTGATTTACGAGTGGCGAGTTTCATTACTCTTTCTCGTGCCGGCTAATACCATCGATATATAATACCTTTCTCTTCTTTTCCAGAGGCGAGAAAGAAGAGAGCATAATCAGAAATCTATGATAGAAACGCGGGCAAGCAAAGGAAAAACCAAGCAGGGGAGTATAAACTGAAACGTTTTACTTGTGTTGCAGGAGAACGTACGGAAGCCATGCAACGTGACGCCGGATACGTCTCTTCCGGATGTGACGTGAGCCACTGGGCCGGGCTCCTACTTCCGTTCTCGTGGTTTCTAATACTCGCACGAAACAGCCAAACTTTCCTGCAATAGCGCACCACACTCCGACACAGTATTTCACGCGTGTTCCACTCTCTCTTTCTCCCCATCTCTTCCACATTCTCCCATTCTGTCTTTCCACCAAAAGCGGATGGAGAAAGTACCTAGAAATTCGACCAACGACTATTAGATACGTAAGTTAGATACTAGTAGAAATTATCGATAGGAGAGAGGGTAACGAGGGTAACGCCATCCCAATCCGTAATACAATTCCGCTATACCGAAGTTTTCGTTCGAATTTCAAAAGCGAATGTTTCATATATATATTCGCAAAGTGCTTTGCGGAAATATCGAAGGAAAGGATCGATTCTCTTTTTCCCTCCTCCTTTGTTTCGAAGAAATTTTACTTTTTATTCGCGATACTTATTCCATCGTATTGTTCAAAGCAAATAACCGGGACAAGATCGCGTATGAAATAGAAAACGGTGATTTTGCAGATATCCGAATCGATGGAATCGATTACGCACTCTGGTTCAACGAGAGAAACGAGAGAATTATTGAAATACCACGAAGCAACGCTTTGTGTGTGTATATATATATATCTCTACTTTAAAACTAGGGGATGCATCGCGTCGTATTTCTTATATCGAAGATAAAATTCGAATATTTGAATTTGAAAAACGGAGCAAAGCAATAGACGATTTAATCGGGATGATAATATTTTCGAAACTACTCTTCTTTTAAATGTTGCACGAGAGATCGGTCCCTTCCCCTCGAGGGAATTATTAAACGGATCGAGAAAGTATAATCCGAGAGGATAATTCATCGGAAAAATGGTAGTGGGAACGAGGAGATGGTATCGAGATGGAGGAGGAACTGGTAAATTTATTTTTTACGTAAATAATTCAGAGAGAGCGAGCCGCAATGGAGCGCTTGATCCCGAAACGGTACGCCTTTTTCGCATGCTCTTACAATTCATGACGCTTCTTTGAGAGTCTCTCTCCAAGTCAATGGGATTAAAGTGGCCGAGCAACGTCAAAGGATGTGCAAGTAATTCGATATCCTGTACATCTTGACTCCGTCGATGCCTCCTCCTCCGTCGGTTCCGGGGAACGGCGTTAATGAAAAATTTTTCCTCCATTCGTAACTCGATCCTCCGCGATACTTTGCTACGTAGCATGGATAATTGGACCTTACTCGCCAGTCAAACCGATTAACTACAATTTTTCTTTAATGGCAATCCATAGAGGATGCGCGACTTTTGCCCATCTCTTCGGAAAATAGATTTATCTGGATGAAAGTTGATCGCTTCCTCGTTACCTTCCTTAATCCTCCTTAAGATTAATTTATCAGCGTACCTTTAACGATGGTATTAAATGTAATATTAACAGTCTTAAATACGCACAATTAGCGGCCACGATTAAGATACTATTTATTATTGTTAACGATACACTCTGAGTAGAAGTTCAATTCATCATCATCATCATCAATACAACGAATCTATCCGTATTATATCGGGTCTATTAAACTTTTAGCTTTTTCACGATTTTCCACGAGACAAGAAAAAAGAAGGGGAAAAAATACTTATACCTTTGGAACGATGTTAAACGAGCTTTGCACGATACATTTCTAAAAATAAAATCTCTTCGAATCGCACAATTCTACTCTACTTTATTTATTACCCCCACCATACCCCTCCCGAGACGAATATCTTCCCGTTGAATCCCGAATAAATATGATGAAGAGAAGTAGACGCAGAGATTAACTTTGAAGCGAAAATTCGAGAGGCGAGTCGAAGCCCCTACGATTCGAAACGAAGGGAACATCTCGACGTTCGAATCCTAGCCGCTTAAAGCTTGAAAAATCGTTTCACGGTTCACGGATTTTCACCGTTCCCGAATACTTTGATGCGTTATGAATTACAAATAACCCTGGGACCGGTGGTTCGCGCAAACGGCGGGGTGACGAACAGATTAAATATTTGATCGTCCGGGGTGAATTGCGAGCGGGAGTGGCGAAGAGATGAGGGGGATGAGGGAAACGCGCCGCCACCCTCGGTCTGTTTTTTTTTTTTTTCACCCTCGGTCAAATACGCGCGTGTCGACTCGTTGTGTAACCCTGTGTGCCCGCTGCCTGGTTTTACACTCCACTACTACTCGCCCCTTTTCACCACATCCCTTTTCCTACTTAACAATGTCCCCGTGACGTTTCAACGCATTCTTCAACACGCGAATACCGGCCCCTGAATACTAATAAAACGGTGGCGCCGTCTCCAGTATTATGGATCGCGTCGCGTCAAAGCTGAATGCCTAGAATAAACGACTTGGACAGTAATAAATCGCGTTTAATTAGTCGAGCGTATAAAAACACGTGAAATTTCTTTTTGCAGTGAAATTTTCACGGCAATGAGACGAAACGATGAGGGAGGGAGAGTGAAAAATGAACGAATACAGTTGACCGCGAAGAAAGTCTTCGTACGTTAATTTGAAAAAAAGAAAATATATTCCACTAATCGCGAAGATCCTTTCTTCGCGATGATTCGTGTAAATTTAAACGAATAACTCGTCCCTCGAAAACTTTTATATTCGAATTAAATTAAAAGATTCTTCTTTCTTCATTTCGCAAAAATTAGCAAAAATCATATTCGGGTATTTTTCCAATTTTCTCGAATCGAGTATCTTCCAACCGACCGCAAACTTCCTCTGTCCCAGTTCGGATCGGGTACGAAGTAACAGTATAAAACCGGTTTGCTCGGGAGGGGAGGGGATGTTGGAGAACCGAATTTGTTGAAGTCAGGCAAAAAGTTTGCTTGGTCGTCTTGCACAGGCCAGTGACACTGGAGGGGATGGGTGAAATGGGTATTCGGGGGTGGTACAGAGTTGGGGTTGAACCTGGATGACAAGGCTCACGACCGGAAACAGTTACCACTACCGCAAGCGGCGCGGGCTACTTCAACTGCTACGCCCAACCACCATCGACGCTGTCCGAACTTGAAAAATAATTCAGCACGCAGTAATGTCCTGAATATAAAATTTCTCGGAGAACCAGCCAATTTCGAGGCGGAAAGGGTGGATCCCAGCTTCCGGCGAATTTTCATTTATAAATTCCGAAAACTTCAAGTCGGATCTCGCGTAAAATTGCTTCGGGCACGGGCACGGGGAGGGGGAGGGGGAGGGGGAGGGGGAGGGCACAGATGGAAGAGAAGGGGGAGGGGAGGGCGAGTGCGGCTCTTTCGAACGAAGCGGGATACTTTCGGGCGAGAGATTTAACTTTCGAGAGGGGTTGAAAAAATAAATGGTCTATAATAATCACCTGTCCCGTTTAATTTTTGAACGGATTGATCAGCAACCGTGAGTGCTCCCCGTTCGAAATCGTATCGTCGATATTTAGGGGTTAATCGTACGAATTAATTAATTCGTTTCGCCTTTCATCATTCGATAAAAAGGAAAAAATCTCACTCGATAATATAATTCGCGAGAAGGAGAGAAATATTGTCGTGATTGCCCTCCTCCCCCGAGGAATCGATTATCGAAAGTTATTAATTAATTGAAAAATTCGTATTCGAATACGTGATTACGCGACGGATTGGGGATCGTTCAAGGGTATCCGTTTTTAAAACGACACGAGGGTAAGGATAAAATAACGTTAAATTTACGACGGGTCGTGAATCAACATGCTTTATGATTGTTCGGGTTGCGGATGATAAAGGGCGGGAGAGCGGAGGAGTAGGTAGACCGTAGAGGGTGGAACGAAGGCTCGCGCGATTCGAAGAGCGGCGAGGGTGGATGGCTGGGTGAAAATTGGAAAACTGCATTGTCCGGCCGTTCCACTCCTGCGGGACACATTCGTTAGCGGCATCGTCCACCGGCAATAAATTTCGCGTATCTTCCGCATTCCCGTCTTTCATTCTTGCTCAAATTAAAGATCATCCCGATCCGAAGCGAATACAGCAACAACAACGGGATGCTGATACGCGTATGGTTATATATATATATATATATATATATATGTATATATAATAAAAAAAAAAGAAAAAAAATTAAGGATCGGACAATGTTTTCGAACATTTTTCGTCAAAATGTGCGAAACGAACGTAAATAGAGGATAAAATGAGGATAAAATTTTCGACGAATCGAGGTTATTGTTCGGCGGATGAGAAAATTACAAGGAACCGATAACGCGTGTAATTAATTTTCTCTCTCTCTCTCTCTCTCTCTCTCTCATACGGGCGGGCAAATTTTCGATGCGTGTAACTCGCGAATCGAGAGGGAGAAATGACAGTTAATTTTCACCGTCATTTGCCTTGTTACCTGATAAACGAACGAGGGAGGATTGTGTTTCCCATAAAAAATGTTTGTAATCTTGCTCTGTTGACGCACGATTCAATTTCGCCGTAACGAATATAAACAGCGACAAACGAATGCTCTCTTTCCCCCATCGAGCGACCATTCCTCCTCCCGCCCCGCGTCTCTCTCCCTCTTCCGAAATTCGATGGATCCGCGTGAATAGGTAGGAAAAACTGGGCCGATTTAAACCCCACTGGCGGTGCACTCCCCAAATTTGGTTAAGTGACGCGATTTCGATAAAAATTCAATTTACCAAAGTAATCTGCCGTTGGTACGCGAATCGATATTTCCATCAAAAATCGACGGGAATATTGCGTGTCTTGAAATTCGTGTCAACCGGGCAACAATTTGTCGGTTATTATTCGAAGAACAAATAACAAATTTCAAGCGCAATTTTAAAGTTTTTAAACCCTTCAAACCATTTTTCTTTTTTTAAAAATCGGTCGTAACAGAATTTAACGACTTGCAAAAGTCCATCGATCGTCGATCCGATCGAAAAGAGGAAGAAAACGAGGATTATTTGGCCGAGTAAAAGGGTTATAAGGCCATCTTGGATGGTTAACTCGCGATTCCGTTTTACCGTGTAACGAATAGCCAGATTCGAAACGCCTGCACCTCTGCCATCCCCTGTGTCCACCAATCGCACGGCGAAAAGCCGGAATTGCTCTCGACTATCGAAAAACAATTAAACTGGTAAAATATCGGCAAACAGAACTCGATGGCCGACTGATATTTTATCACTCGTAATTCACAGTCGTGTGTCTTTCTTTTAAAAGAAGAAAAAAAAAAAAAAAAAAAAAAAACTTTCTCTCCTATAGATTACGAAATATTTAACGAGATATCACGAGATTTCTATATATCCGATCTTTTTCTTCTCGAAGAAATCGATCACACTCTAGAGATGAATCGATTCGAATCGAAATCGCATTCGCACGCATTCGTAACGCAATTTCGTATTCTTTTTCGACGAGAGGAGGAGAGAAGTTTTCAATGGATGAAATTGGACAGGGATGGATTGCGTTGCGTCGAACGTTCGTACGTAATCAAGAGAGATTTTAACCGGGATGCAACGATCGAATTCGAAAGGTTGATCGTATGGATCTATCTGTCGAAAGACGACAAGTGGCAAGTACGATTTCAGTTACACGTTTTTCTCTGACCACACTGTGTAAAATTGATCCTTCCACGCGGTGTTCAACGATTTCTCTCTTCGTTTTTTTCGTTTCCTCTCCTCTCTCTCTCTCTTCTTTTTTTTTCGTCGGGTGTCCGATCCTCCTCTGTTTAGTTGGCGCGTGCACGCCATCTCACCCATCCCCGAATGTCGAGTTTCCACGCGTGGAAATTACCTCGTGTCCCAACTTCCACCGCGTGTCGGACCGATGGAAAGCGAGATTTCCGAGCTGGACACGCTGGATCGTTTTCAACTTTCATCGAGAATTAACGATCGAATCGGATGCTTTTGTCCGACCAATTGTCCAACAATAATTACAGATAAAAATCCAGAGAACGGGATTTCCCGCGCACTAATAATTATCACATTGATTTATTAACTTTAATTAGATCAACTTATCCGTATCGTCGTTGATTTCTTCCTTCCTCCTCCTAAGTCTACAACAACATCTCGAACGGCTCGTGTAATCTATAACAAAAGAAGGTGAAAGTGAGAGACGGGTAGCTAAAAGGGTGTGGAAAAACGTCAAGGGACGTGGAAAAAGTGAAACGAAGAAAGGGGGAAGTTGGGGATGAGGCACGAGCCCGCAACAACCACCAACTCTCTTCTTCCCTTTCTTCCTCCTTTCTTTTTTTTTTTCCTTCGACGATTCGGGGACGGGCTCGACAGGATCGTGATTGTGATCGAATCCTGCAGGTACCTGAGATCTGCACACGTCGATGTTCACGCCGCGAATAACGTCGAGAGACACTTCGGGGGACCGGTCGATTGTTTTTCGGCGACGGGCAAAATTGATTACTCCGGGGTATCTGGGGAAATATGACGTAATGGTCCTTTGTCGTAAGCGTATTATCCGTCCTCTTCTCTTTTGTATATCTTTTTTTTTTCCTTCCCCATCTCCCCCTCCTCTCCTCTTCAACGCGCGAAACCAGACAGTAAGCTTGAGAGATTGAATCTGAAAATGTTTCGAAGAGGAGAAGAATTTGACATTTGCGAGATTAAGTGATACTTCTTGCGGTCGCGTTGCCATTGACGATGATAAATCATCGCCTCGAATTTTCGAACGATGGTTTTCCTCGTATCGTTGGAATTTTTAGGTTGAGTACCATCGATCAACCTTTCTTTTTTTCCACCCTTCGGCTCTGCTCTCTTTCTCTCCTATTTTTTTTCCTTCTATTCTCTTTCCCCTGCTCTTTTTAAATCGTCGATGCTGTTTGGTAACCGTTCGCCGTGCTACTCGTGCAAACAACAAACTCGTTTCCATCGTTGCAACGAGAAATTGCGTCGAACGGTGTGCAAACGCTTGAGTAATTTGCGTATCGCTTCAGCTCGGAGTAACTTCGATAAGGAATGTAAGTAAAAAAAAAAAAAAAAAGCAAAAAGTGTAGAGAGAGAGAGAAACAAAATAAATTCGCCGTTAGTTGGTAAGATGGAAACACGAGGGAGGGGAAACGAGGGAGAGAACAAAGAGGAGAAAAGAATTAAAAAGAAAAAAAAAAAGGAAGAATGCTGAGCAACTGCACTGTGATGCTGTGTGATTACAGGTGGAAACGGAACGTGAGATAGAATCGTTTTATATCATCATATTACATTTATTGAAACAGTATTCACGTCGATGAATATCTTTACAGTATAATAAGTCTGTACTCGTTTTGCCGCATTTTTTTACCTCTGCCACTTTGATTCATTTGCTTGACGTTCCACTATATAACATGGTACATTATCGATTATGAATTCCCCGCCCCCCCCCCTTCCCTGCCCCCCTTTATTCTTTATGTACAATGCGATCTAGGCTTAACTATATAAATTGTGCAACATTTCGTAATTATGCGAGTCGCGGTATATCGATTATCTAGTGACACAATTTAACGTGTAACGTTCCCTCTCGATAATTTTCCGTTTCTTTTCTTTGATTATCAGCGATTGACGCGTGTTTCGAGTGAGCTTTATCGAGTTTTTTGTCTTCTTCCTTTTTTCCCCTTTTTTCTTTTTCTTTTTTTTTTTTTTCTTTTTTTTTTTTCAATCTCGAACGCGAGATCATTATCGATATTACGTGAAACGATGACATCCGGAGTCTCTTATGCGTAACATCGAACCTAGATCGTTATTATAACCGAACATTTCATTTCAAAAGGAACGAGACTCGAGGATGATTTCGAAACAAAGTGAGTAATATTTATTAAAAATTGATGAGGAAAAAAGATCTTTTACTTTTTTTTTTTTTAAATTTTACTTTTTACTTTTTTCTTTTAATCAATAACGACGATTCTCCCATTCTTGTTCCAACATTATTTTAAATCGATTAATTCGTTCGTTAAATCTCTCTGAATTATAATATCATACATACGAATAACATTCCAAATCTGTATATCTATTCGATTCGATTTTGATTTCTCATTCTTTTTCACGTATCATCTCTTTTTTTTCCGGTTTTTTTTCTTTCTTTTTCTTTTTTTTTTTTTTTTTTTACTTTTTTTTTTTTTTACTTTTAAACAACCGCACTTCTTTAAACCGCTATCCTCACGCTTCAACTTCAAAATATTGTCCTCTCACAACGACATAAATTACCGTAAGTATAAACTATACAAGAAGGAATAATATATCATCATATCGCGAACCTTTCCCTCTTTCTCGTCTCCGTGTTGTAAAATCCGTGCAACGTAACACAGTGAATCCAGTTTCTGGCAGTTTTTGTTTTACACCAGGCTGTATATGCACCAGACTCTTTGGCAGTGGTACAACGTTATAAAAAATCTATTTAAACCTATGGTTAAGTCGCGTCTTAACACGCTCTACGTCGTTATGATATCGTTTTCCGTTTACTTCGTTTTATTATTATTATTATTATTATTATTATTATTATTATTATTATTATTATTATTATTATTATTATTTATCCGTAATAAATCTACTAATTAAAGTTGCTATCGTCTTGTGTCTTTAGAAGAAG